AAAAAAACGCTTTTTCGGCTGAAATGGAGGTTTGCGTTATCTTCAATATCTCGATAACTATTGAAGTTAGAGACTCCAGTAAGAAACCAATTTGTTCCTCATGATATGGACTATAAATCATGGCATTACAAGGTTTCACTCAACTCACTTCCTCTAGGTCTAATTAAGCTTGAAACTTACCTATCGATTTTGGGAGAAACGCTATTTTTGACCTTCAAAAACCAATGGGAGGGGGAAAGTATCAGATTTGTGGTTTCTACCCTTTGTTGTTTCCTATATGAGGAATATAATCACATAGGTTGAACCCCGTACCTAGTTTCCAGAATTTTCCAGTTGTTTTCAAACTTTGCTCTGGGCCCCAAATCGGCCTTTTTTAACATCTCGCATCTCTGGTGGAGAAGCTCCGAAAAATTTGAAATTCATAGCAAATAATGCTCTATTCTAGAGTAACTTGGAGTTAAGCAGCCTCCATAGTCTATGGGGTAACATTCCCAGCTCATGACTCAAGGTATGCGGGTTCAAACCCGGCAGAGGTCATGGGATTTTTAAGGGCGGAAAAATTCGGGGAACAAGTCCTCCAGGAGGGACTTTAAGCCGTATGTCACGTGTCGTAGATTTATGGCACGTAAAAGAACCTCATGTCTCTAGGAGACCTCTGAGCTAAATTACAGGCCCTTTCCCGCCCAAGTACTCTCCAATGCCTCTGGTGGATAGGGGAAGCATCAAGGTACCGGGGGCCAACCTCGTTGGCTCTACGGGGGCTGATGGCACGCACCGTTATGGGTACGGTATGGCGACAGTAGAAATTAAAAGGGGGACGCACAATGGACCAATAACTGGTCTAAGTGCATGGGGAAAACCCACCCCCTCTCATAATACATACATACATACATACATACAACTTGGAGTTAAAATTACAACTTTGATATTCAACTAACAGCGAAGTTGTAGGCACTTTAAATTTGACAGATTTTGCAGAAAATTGTTTGTTTCTTGTTCAAGATGAGATTCAAAGTTTCCATTGGGTAAATCAACAGGCTACACTTCACCCTTTTGTGCATTACTACAAGGCATACACTATAACAAAATGCCCAAGCTTGTGTATAATTAGTGATCATGTAAAGCACGATAGAATCACAGTTTATGTGTTCCAAAAATTTCTTATCGCCGATATAAAAGAAAATGTGCCTTCAGTCAGGAAAGTTATTTATTTCAGTGATGGCACTGGAAGCCAATATAGAAACAAAAAGAATCTTTCTAATTTATGTCATCACTATGAAGACTTCAGACTTGAAGCAGAATGGAACTTCTTTGCCACCTCGCAGGGGATGAATGCCTTTGACGGTATTTGCAGCACCATGAAGAGGAAAGCAGCGAAAGCCAGTCTTCAAAGAACTCATTTTAATCAAATCATGTGCCCGCTAGAACTGTAAATATTCTGCACAGAAAATATCCCAGGAATAGTTTACTTTTTTTTGTGCCAAAA